TAGCTATATCAACACATCTGGGAGTGTGTGCTGTGACAAATATGCATCTTTTGCAGCATGCCCCCTCACAAGAACAGGTGGGAGTTTAGTAGCGAGATTATGATTTCCTAAGCCAGTTTTCTTCCCAGGCTGCTCCAAGGGCAGTACAATAACTAACTACTACTTACTAATGGTATAGATCATAATGTCTAGTAATGTTTGTTTCTGGAAATTTAACTCCAAATATTTTTACTTCTGTATTCTGAAGTTCTATAAGATCCAATTTGACTAGTTTAAAAAAACTAAAAAGAATTCCAGACTTACAAAATGCTTTCTGCTCTGTTTGTTTGTTTTTAGGACAAAGTAGTTGCAGTTCAGTTCTGTAACAATGGTGACAGGTAAGCATGTATTCTGGGCTTTTTCCAGTAGGACATGTTGTTGTTGTATTTAATTTTCCAAACAACTTTTTGAGAAAGTCTTTTGTTTTATAACAGTAGTCACACTTTACACAGGGTCCTCTCATTTTAATTGACTTGTCCAAGGTTATGTAGCGAGCCAGTGGCAGAGCTGAGTCTGGATTCCATGTCTCCTGGTGTAACCACTACTTCTGGGGAATTCTGCGCCAAAAAAATAATTCTGAACACAATATTTTAAAATGCTACATATTTTGTCATAATAACTCAATATAGTCATGCCAGTTTGTTATTTTGGTAATGTATTTCAAAATACCTGTCAGCAAGTATGTCTGCAAGAAAAAAAGATTCCCCCAGGGTAGAGAGAGAAAGAAATCTCTACGACTGCCCAAGTCCCGTTTCTCTGTTATTCTTTTGTCAGGTGCCTCTGTCTGGGTGTGTCATGTACCAGTGGGGCACATCTTGGGGTGGAAAACTCTGTGCCTCCAGTCATTTAGTCAATTCTCATTTTTTCACCCTGCTGTCATAGGGTTACTATATTTCAAGTTCCCAAATAAAGGAAGCTGCCTGGGGGATATGTTTGAGGGATGCTGGAGGGTGTGTTTGGGGGGATGCTGGAGGGGTCTGTACTGGGAGAGGGTATTTGGGAGGTGCTGGGGGGGGAATGCGTGGGGCTCCCCAGACCAGAAGCTTGCACATGCACCTGCCCCCACCCCAAGCTCAGTTGCAGGCTCCGCTCTGCACAGCTTCGTTACTGTCCTGCCAGGGGAAATGGTGCAGCCCTGCCCTTCCTCACCCTTTGCCAGAGCTGGGTCTCTGAGGCCCACTCCTGTCCCCTGGCAGATGAGGATCAAGCCCGGCAGCCAGAGCGTGCAGAGCCACAGGGCTCCATTCCTGCTAGGCCAGGTGCTCCGCTCACTGCAAGCTGGGGAGCCTGGCTCTGCTGGGTCCAGTGACCCCTATTAGTGGCCAGCAGTTATGCATCACCGATTCTATGGGGAAAAATGAAATTCTATGCAGAACATTATTTCTGCACAAATTCTGCATTGCGCGGTGGCACAGAATTCCCTCAGGAGTAAACCACTAAAAATAGTAAGTTTTTTTTTTTTAATGGTTTAGTAAAAACAAATCAGGTGCTCAGTTCCGTATCCTTATTTCTGTTTAGTAGACTTGTACTCCGCAAGTAGCGTTATTGAGTACAGTGGGATTACATAAAACAATAAGAATAGGCATGCCAGGTCAGAACAACAGTCCATCTAGTGCAGTATCCTGTCTTCCGACAGTGGCTGGTTCCAGGTGCTTCAGAAGGAATGAACGGAACTGGGCAATTATCAAATGATCCATCCCCTGTCATCCAGTTCCAGCTTTTGGCCGTCTGAAGTTTAGGGATACCCAGAAGAAGGAATTGTGTCCCTGACTATCTTGGCTAATAGACATTAATGGACCTATCCTTCATGAACTTCTCCATTTCTTTTTTTTTTATAAAAACCCAGTTCAACTTTTGGCCTTCACCACATCCCCTGGCAAATAATTCCACAGCTTGACTGTGCATTGTGTAAAGAAATATTTCTTTGTTTGTTTTAAACTTGCTGCCTGTTAATTTCATTGGGTGATGCCTGGTTCTTGTATTTTGTGAAGGGGTAAATAACACTTCCCTGTTCACTTTCTCCACATCATGCATGATTTTATAAATCTCTATCACATCCCCTCCACCCTCCTGAGTCATCTCTTTTCTAAGATGAACATCATACTCATGGAATGTGGTACTATTCCACACGACTAAGGGTATTGGAATCTGGCCCTAAATGAAAGATTAACAAAAACGGTAGAATTATCATGGAGACACAGGTTACCCAGCAAGTAAACTTGACGTTATACTTTAGAGGGCTGTGCTGCTGCAAAGTGCTTAGCACCCTCAGTCTTCGTTGAGTTTAACAGGAATTGAGGGTTCTAAGCATCTCATGGGAGGTGCTCCATGCCTTGTAGGATTAGGTTCACATTGAGTGACATGTCTGTAGTTTTGTAATTCTAGTAGGACCAACTGTGCCAGTAAGCCTAGGTTTCTGTATATCTCCTAACATTAATAACTTTTCAGCTGGAAATTGCATCAGGTTAAAACATTTCATTTAGATTAAAGCCGCAGAGCTGACAATCACATTAGAGCAAGTTTTTAAAAATATGCAAGTTCTGGGGGTTTTGTTTGCTTCAGTGCAGACTAATACCCTCTGGGGGTGAGAGACATTTCAGATTTTTTTAGAAGGTAAATCATCAAAAACACAAATTAAGCTCAAGCATGTAAGTACAACTACTTCGTTTCATCAAACCTATGTATTTATTAACATACTTTCTTTTAATGATTACTGTAATATACAAACAAAAAGTATATCTAGGTTTAAAGAACGGACCTACTTCAACGATTTTTGATAAGGGGTGCGAGAACATATTTTGAGAACCAAAGGGGTGCAGGCTGCAGTAAAGGTTAAGAACCACTGCCTTAGAGCAATGATGTTTCTTACAGAAAGCAGGGTCAATGCTTCCTGGAACTCCAGAGAGCACAAGGAGAGTGGTTACTGTACCACCCTTGCAACAGTCAGCCAGCTTTGATGGCTATTTCAGAAGAGGTGAGGCCATGACCACAGCCCCTATTTGGAAAAGCTACCACTGGCAGTAGTGCTTTGTTAATGTAGTTCTTGAATTCAGATGAGCTGTATTTTTCCCCATTTCCTACATTGAGACACCAAAGAGGAGGCTACTTGTGTCCTCTTCCCCCACTATTCATTGCACAATCCTCCCTTTGCATTTAGGCACAATGCAAAATTCTTTGATTTCAAAAGAAATGTGCTTGGATCAACATCCTAGTGATGCAATCAACAGTGCAGCTGGCCAAAAGAACCCATGAACCCAGTGTGATACTGAATGAAAAGGCAGTTTTATTTCCCCCTTTTTCCCTTTGTTGTTTGTTTTTTAAAGATGGTGTGGGAAGGCAATTAATTTAGACTCTAATTTTTTGTTAATTTAGCATTTCATATTTAACAAAAGCAAGGAAATTAATAACTAAGGCTCCCTTTTTGTCCTGACCCCATCATGTACTGATTTCACTTCTGTAAGAGAGGTATTGGGATTAAGAGGGCTATTTTATTTTTGTATCTGATTTAATAGAAAAATATGCCCCCATTGCATAGGCTTCTTGGGGGCATTTCCATTAGTGGTTGGTTTTTTTATTTTTTATTTTTTTTAATCAAATAGTTGGCATATTTTAAAACGCTTTCCAAACGGATAAAAGTGCTGATATGCTACTGCAAGACAAGAACAGCAACCACTACTAACTGACCTAATTCCTTGACGTCTGACTTCTTCTGTCAGGCCTATCTTGGGCAATGGCTTGAGTAAGCAAATAGTCCTTTCCCATGCCTTGAAGTTCAGCAAAACAGAGTTCTGAAAATCATGCAAGAGAAGCACGTTTTTAGTTACAAACATGCTGCCTCCCGTCCCCATATATTTAGATGTACGTGCTGTTCAATGAAGCACCTTAGCTGATCTCAACTTTTGGGAGGTTCTGTAGGGAGAGATGTACTGTGTAGGGATAGCCAGGAAACTCCCCGTCCTCCATGTTTTTGGCTCTGGGATTTGTGTTGGTTTGTATGTAAAGGACAAAGCAGAGGACCACTCTTCAAGAGGAGTGGGAGATGCAGTTTATCTTCATGTACAAATGTCAGATTACATCTGTTTATAAAATAGATAATTCATTTAAAACAAAAGCATATTTCATCCCTCCCATTTCAGATATATTGAAACTTACCTAAAACCAGCTCTCAGTTAATTGTTCTCCTTGTAATCAGCAGCAGAGAGCACTACAGTCCAATTTTTTCCACAAGAATACAGATGCTCCATGTATTGCTTAGTATTCTCTCCACATTTTTTTGGTCGTTTATGTACACTTTTTTCCCCAAGTGTCATTGAGTGGAGGAACTATATTAATAGAGTTTAATATTGTGTAGCAGTCTTAATATTTCCCAAACTGAAATACCTCGTGTGTCTGGCATGAATTATTATGAATGCCGGTACAGATTTTTAGTAAGAATATTGCCCTGTGTACTCTATTGTGGATCCATATTACAATAAGTAAAGTAGTTAATGTACATATGCAGCATCTGCTCTCTAAACCCCCTAGCCTTCTACTGGCTCCACTTTTGCAGGACCAGGATTTAAAACCTTAATATCTTAATGTAAGAGGGTCCGGACTCACCCCTGCAGCACCTCCTGCTGGTCATCCAGGGAATTAGCTCACCAGCCTCTGGAGCACCCTCTGCAGGCCCGTGATCCGCTTTTCCTCTTCTCTGGCCCCCGTGTCCCTCCCAGGACCCCGGTGCCCCTTGCTCTAGGTGCTGCCCCCTGGCAATAACCATACATATGCTAGGTCTCCCCTCCCAGGGGAACCTCCACCCACTAACCCCACCTCACCTCAGGATAAGGCCACTGCCAGTCACCAGCTAGCCCCCACTCTCTGGGGCAGACTGCAGTATAGGCCACTCATCATCCGGAAAAGGTG